GCTGCACACTGCTCTCCCCAGCATCCAGCTACTAATAACCTGAAACTGCAAGAACTGGAATAAATCTGGGCAATATTCAGAGCCACAAAGTTATATTTAACACCGCTGCTATGAGCTGGACAAGGAAGCAGTAGCTGGAGCAGATATTTCACTCTTAATTCGCTGCCATTCAGGGGTGCTGTTGACAGGAGATGGAGCCCGGCTCAGCGGAAGAGCCACAAGGTTAGGAATTCAGTAGGGCTGGATCCTATTCCTTCTTCCTCCACTGCTCTGCTGGCTAATGCTGGGTGAGAACATCCCCTCTGGGCATCTGGTTCCCCTCCTTCCCTGACACATCTATTTAAACTGCAAATTCACTGGGGTAGGGACCATCTTGGTAATGATAAAGCCTGTACAGCACTCCACGCTAATGGTTCTATTAATAAATATTCCCACTGCTATTAAGTAATAAAACAAAAACTATAAGAATTGCAAGGTCAATGATGCATTACATTAATTCTGAGGTATTTGGGTATAAAATGCAAGAAGGTACACTCTCCCAAGCAGGAGCAAACCAGGGGACACCTATGTTGTGTTCCAGTATTTTTTGAGCAATCTAATTAGAGGTAATTGAGTTTTTAACTTCAGAGATAACTCCAAAAATACCATCACTAGAGGCTAAGTGTCCTGGGAGGCTGGGGGAAGTCCAGGATAGCCCTTCCAGTTCTGTAATGTTTATTTTCTTAAAAAAGAAGAAAAGAAGCATTACAGAACTGGAAGGAACAGAAAAGGGACAGGCACACAGCTGGAAATGTGCTGGAGATGGCACAAGCTGAGCCAGTCTAAGGCACACAGATTTTCTACAAACATAGAAACATCTAGGCCACAGACTCAAAGGTTCTGTGCTCTCAGTTCAACAAATTGAGGAGGAGTTAAATACATCCACACTTCTATGCACTTTTGAACCACCATGGTGAGGTAAAGCACAGACCTAGAAAAGCCTTCTACTGTACTGTAAACACTATAGACATAAGAAGGAAACTAAATTCATGTAACACAATTAATTCCTGTTGCATTTGCAAACTGCCATTTGTCTGCAATATATATGAGCATCCCTCTTACACCTTAAAATGAGCTCCACATTAAAGCTACCTGACAACCAGAAATGGTCATTACATTCACCAAGAAACAGAAGAATGGTTCTCTTGCCAGACCTTGTTTTGCACCTCCTGACAAGCCCTAGAAATGCTGAAAACATCATTTATTTCAGACAAACTGTGCTCTTTTTGACAGCTGCTGAAGTCTGAAGTACCACAATTGACAAGAAGTCTCATTTTTAGCACTACTGCAGGAATTAAGATTGCTACAGCTTCTTTTGTAGCTTTACCCTGATTTGAGACTGGATTTAATAAGACTTGTTTTAAAATATTCAGATGTGCTGAAAGCATATTTCTTAATAAGATGAACATGATAAGGAAGAAAGTCTGGCAGCACTGTCTCCCTCTAAAAACTGATGGATTTGGAATATAAGCTTTGTGCACAGAGGATAGAATTTACTGACAAAGTTGAAGAGCAGACTACAGAGGAAAAACTGCTCCTACTTGAAAGGAGGGGGAAAAAAAAGGAATTTCACAAAAGGAAAAGTGAAGGAGACCCTGTCCCCATGAGCTATTTGTCTGTCTCATGCTATAGGGGATGCTCTTGCTTAGCTTACAAGACATTCCCTCCTCCCCCTGCGAGCAGAGGAACTCACAGCATTAATATGACACCTTAAATGAGCCAACTTCCTTGAGCATTGCCCAGGAGACTAGAATGGACATGCTCCTATCTCAGACACCAAGAAACATGTCTGATTAGCAGTCAGGCAGAAGAACATCTCTGATCAAGGAAAAACACTCCTGTTTAAGCTGGAAAAAACCCCAGTGGATTGCCATAAGTGGCATATTTTCAAAGCCTTTGTGTAAACACCAGCTCCAGATCAGCCAGCAGCTCAGCTAGCTCTATCTGGCTTCCCTTCTTTTGAAACAAAATTAGAGGAAAACACCCATCAGAAAAGGTCAGTGGCCAAACTATTAGGAAAAAATAAAAGCTCAGGGGAAGGACATACAGAGTGATTCATTAAATGTGCACTGCTAAGCCTCTGACAGTGGGCATAAAACAGACTTTTCACACAAATGTCCTGAATTTGCAGAACTCTTGTGCCAGAACATTAGAATTGCATTGCTTAAGAAATTCTCAGTATTCCCCTACAGCTGCCCCCACCAATAGGAGTGGTGTGAACCCCATGGTTTAGAGGGGAACAAAGCCAAAGCAGCTACAAAGAGCACAAGAAAAGCTCCACCCACTTCACGTGGACACCTACGCAAAAGGAGTGGACTGAGCATCTCAGGTTCTTAGAAAAACACTCAGCCTGGCAAACAAGCATGTCCTGCGGTGAGTGCCAGGTGGGAATTCACCTTACACTGTCACTAGAACCCACCTTCATGGATCATGTGCAATGGGCAGAACTGCTTTTCACAAAACTAACCCTGCCCCAAGGCCAGCAAACTTGCATTTGGTAACAACAGTAACTTTCCAAGACAAATCCTAATCCAAATCTGAAAACAGCAAGAATTTGAGATTTTGTTGCATTCCAGAGGCAATTTTAACAGTGAGGCCAATTAACCAGCAGAACATTGTGTAAACTTTAGGTCCTATTCGTTCCTTCAGCTCCTAGTTAGATGGTATTTGTTTAACTTAGGTTACTGGTTCTTGCTACATTTAACGCTGCACTGCTCAGACCTGGCATGTTCTGCGCTAAGGAGGTACTCAGTGTAAACTGAGTCATACCTGAACCATCTCCTAAACCAGAGGCAGAATGCTCCACACAGAGCAGATCTTTCTGCCTTTGAATGGACTTCTGTGGCTCTTCTTAGCATTCTTTCTGATTTTTGCACTCAAAAAGCAGCCAGCAGAACTCTGCAGTCCACATCTCTTCCCAACATTGCATCCAGGAGGAGAAGTCCTTTCCTATTTATTGCTGGACTATTCACATACCCAAGGCCCCCACAGACTCTGTGGCTGAGGGTCAAACTGGTTTACTTGCTTAGCTAAACTTCCAAATCCTCTTCCCAGAGCCTGTTATTTACTCTTCTATTTCTCATTTTGCATTTAGCCTTATTAAAATACATTTAATTCAAATGAGGCCAGTTTGTCAAAGCAATCGTGTAAACTGCAAATTTGCACATCATCCACAGAAATTCAACATCTGCTTCAAAGCACTGAGCTGCCTCCTAGAAGAACACCCACAGAAACATTCCCAGGCTGTGGAACCAACTTCTTCAAAAATTACAAAAAGTTAGACACTTCCTTCATTTATCATGCAGAGTATCAATGTTGTTATTATCATGTAATAGAATTTATATTTTTTTAATGCCACATAATAAATAAATCAAGCACCTGTAAAGAAAATAAGGAAACATTCATCTTTCTAAGCAAAACCTGTAATTTTGTTGGTGAAAAATTTTTGATGCAATCCATTTTCCATAAATAGTAGTTGCTAACCTCAAATGCTTCTATCTTTAACTTTAATGTTAAAAAACATTAATAGAAATAAGTACAATTAAACAGTTCTTTTTCCATTTAGGACTAAGATCAGTCAGGATGAGGAAATTTTTGTTTCCTGAGATTGAACAAATTAAATTATTTACCTATTTACATTTTCTGAACACTGATGAATTAGCAATTAGTTACCTGGCATATCCCCTATTATTCCAAACATTAGAATGTCCACTACCACATACTGCATTTAATATTATTTTTTAAACAAAGTAGAAAATACTTCCACTGGCCTCATAACATACATAAGCTGATCTTCTTCCTTTTCCCACAGAAAAGCCACAGCTTTAAGAAATTCTGAAAATATATTTTAACGGCAAGAAAAAGTACAGCCCTTTAGAGTATTTTAAGCAGAACAACAGGCACTTTCTGTCCACTGGCTTTTCTACACAGAGAGAAAATTTCTCACAAATCATATCAATCTCCCCCAGACTGTCAGATTTTAGAAGAAATAGGAAGAAGATCAATTTACACCACAGGAAAACAAGAAAACAATCTGCACGGCCTTGCAAAAACTGACACTGCTTTTGGAAAAATAAGCTACAAATGCTTCCACACTGTGAACACTTTAACAGACAATGAACACAGCACAAATATTCATGGCAAAAATAAATTGATTATTGACAGGAAACTAGCTTGATGCACAGATTTTTGCTTTGCTGACTTCTTGGTTTGTTGAGCAGAGTAGAGAGTGTTGGCTATTTTCAAGACATTCCGTTTACCATTACCAATTCTAAAATACAAAATCTAAAAAAAGTGGATTTTTAAAAACTCTGAAAAGAGATTTAAAACAATACAAAGCAGAAAACCAGCAAGGTGCAGAAAAGACCAGTCACTCGTGCTCCCATCCCCAGCTTTACATTTATGTACACAGGCTGGTGTGTACTTGTGCCATATCATTACACAGAACAGGAATGCTGAGAGATCTTCAGCTGCCACACATTTGTAAAAATACTTGTTGCTTCCTAGAGCCAAATAACAATGAAAACAGAATCCTTAACCTTGGTATAATTTTCTAGATTGTCAGTCTCATACAGATTACTTCAGTGCTCAAAATAAATCTGAAGAAAGTACAGATGATTCTTGAACTTCAAAAATTTCAACTTCCAGAATTGGAACACAAACAAGAAAAATAATTCAAGGACACCACAACTTCACATGGAGAGAGGTATAGTTTGTTTTTTGACAACTACACAATGAAAATGATCCATATATTTGTGATGCCCCTTCTGGGTGGGTCATCACAATATTCCAACTAGCAGAATGATGAAATTCTTCAATTACTTCCTAATTAACTTATTTAATGGGAAGAGAACAGTCTATTTCATGTAACATGCAACTCAGGTTTAAACTACCTCTGAATTTCATTAGGAAATCCTTGATCTTCTGAAAGACATTAAAAAAACCAAACAAACAAATCTTACCATTTTGATGCCAGTGGAAAACGTGACTGGTTTGACAGGTTTGGGTTTTTCCAGCTGCATTTCTAGCTGAGTAGATCTGTCCTTATGCTGAGCTAAGAGCAGAGAGGCAGGAAGATCAGAGCTCTCCTGTAAACATATGAGGAATAAATTTGAGTCCTAGACCAAAACAAATATTAATTAACACTGCATATTCTTCTAAACTGCAAGCTGTGACTGCAAGGCCATCACTAGAACAGCAGAATGCCAAGTATCGTCTCCCTCAGAAACAGTTTACAGAAAACGATCATTTTCAGTAATAAGAAAAAGCTGCAGCAACCCCATAAATCAGAGTAACCTGCAAACAACCATTTTTATCGAATCCACATTAAAGACAATATAACAGGCTCCTTATTCCAACTGGGCAATGCAACAATATTTATTAAAATAAAAAAAAAATTTAGAACTTAATCAGAGAAGGAATAATACTGAGTAGTATAACTTGGATCAGATGTTTATCTAAGACACATTCTTTCTACCAATGAACTCAGACCAGTTTGAAATTGCTTCCCATTAGATTTCACCTGAGGCCGTTTGGAAATGATCCTTGCTCTGCTCTGCACAATGGCACTATTGTAAATGCAACCAACAGCATATTTATTTTCTCCTTCAGCAACTTATTTTTAGGGAAGCCAGCCAATTTTTAAATATATATATACATATATATATACACACACACAAAGTAGTAAAATGAATAGTTAAGCAAATGAATTACCTAAACTGTCAGGACAGAATGATTATTAACATACATATATGTAAGTGCATTTTTGAGAGAGTCAGGAAATTATTGGCCAAGTAATTTTCTAAGAGACTAATGTGACTATCTACACACAGAAATCCTTGAGAATTGCTGGCTAGAACTACCATGAAGTTAAGAGTAGGGAAGAAGTTCAGACAGATTCTTCCTGGACTGCTTTAACACAGTATTTTCTTCCTAAGGCCCTCACACACCACATTTACTTCTGTTTCTAAGAGCCAAGCAAATACTGAACTATGAACCATATTTGTTACTCACAAAATCAAACAGATTTTATTAACAGGACTGTGATTTTTTAAATCATTCAGTTCAAAGAAGTTGGATGTTTTTAATGTCACAAGATGCCTTGCTGTTTTTATGGTACCTAGAGAAATCCTCTGAAGTGATCATGAAGAACAGTCACGTTGTACACTGATTTTTCACATCACTCTCCAGTCTTCTTTCCCTTCTATATTTTATTACATTCCCTTTGCCTTACCACTAGAATGCAAGATAAAAGCAGAAAAATCTCACAAGGCAAGATCTGGTCCAGAATCACAAGTACAACAACTAAGGCACAGGTTCCTACTTGTATTTCTGTGATCAGCTGGGAGGAGGGAGAGAAGATACTAAAAACCTAAATTGTAGAGACATCTAATTACTGAACAACTTGGAGAAAATTTGGGCCACAAATGCACTAGTTTAGAGTCTGCTTCTTTCAAGTGTTGTACATCTCTAACCTGCATGCAGCAGCATGTGCTGTCAGCTGTCAGCAGAGGTTAAGGATGTTGAATTCCTTCAGTCACCAGATTTAACGTGTTGGGGGACAAGGGAAGAGTGGAAAGCATTCTCCTGTTCATTTTGTTGTTCATATTCCTTAAATATTCACTGCATTTCTAATAAAATGATTCAAGGAAGGCAATTTTTAACCATCTTCCCAGGAGTTCACACAATGACCAGTAACCAGATTACACAACTGTGGGAAACCCACACTGTGCCAGCAAGGCACCACATCCTGATTGTTTGTCCTTTTGAATATGCACAGAGCCCTTCTGTTAACTATTAACACACGTGGAAGTTCCAACCCCGTGTTTATTCATACCAGCAATTTTCTGTATGGGAAAACAAAGTGTCTACACTATGAACAAAGCTGGTTATACACAATAATTTCTGGGAGACTTGTCTCCAAACCCTTGAGGTTCTGGTGAAAGTGTGGATATGACGTCTTTAATGCCTTTGTCTGGCTCCAAGCTATGCCACAGTCCAGGGAAAACCTGCTCCTCTGCCATGTGCTGCAATCCCATTGTGCTCATGCCTGAGAATTATGGGCTGTCGAAGAGGAGAGTGCAAGTCCCATAAAACACAAGAGATCATCTTAGAATCCTCTGTATACAGGTGAAAGTGTATAAAGAAAGTGCTTTAATATTTTACTCAGCCTGGATTATCCAAGACTATCCAAGATTAAAAAAAAATCCCCAAACAAACAACAACCCAAAATAAAACACTCATGTAGCTCTCCCAGCGATGCATAAAGTGCATTTGAGACTCCAAGTCTAAATTACAACAGGGTATCGTGCTTTTAAAGTGAGAGTTTTATTGTAAAAGAGGTGACTTACAACAAAGTTAACACCTAATTAGTAGTGGGAGGCAAAAAGGACCAAACTGCTTTTCCAGTGGCCTGCAGAGCCTGAGTCCCCCTGATGCCTTGCTGATCTCTCCAGCTCTTCACACTGGCCTTCCCCTCCCTGTTCCCAGCCAAGGATGGTTTCATGGAGCCTTGGCCCCAAGTCCAGTCCTTTCTGCAGGAGCCCCTGCACTCCCCAGGCTGGCCAGAAACCACTGCACAGCATTTAGAACACCAAACATTTTTCTGTGCCTCTGGACTACCTAAATTATCAGCTCTTTGAAGATGGTACAGCATTCTCAAACACTTGCACACAATTGAGACCTTTGCTCCATACGAAATCACCACAAGTACCACATCTAATGACTTGGAGAGGAGAGGGAAGGAGCATCTCCTTCCTCATCCACAAGGAAAGGATGAGGGCATTGGGACTGCTCAGCCTAGAAAAGAGAAGGCTTTGGGGTGACCTAATTGTGGCTTTCCAGTACCTGAAGGGAGCTGACAAAAGAGATGGAGACTCTTTACAACAGCCTGAAGTGGCAGGACAAGGGGAATGGCTTCAAACTGACAGAGGGCAGCTTCAGATTAGATACTGGAAAAAGTTTTTCCTGAGGGTGGTGAGGCCCTGGCACAGGCTGCCCAGAGAAGCTGTGGATGCCCCAACACTGTCAGTGTTCAAGGCCAGGTTGGATGGGGCTCTGAGCAATCTGCTCTAGTGGAAGTTTTCCCTCCCCATGGCAGGGGGTTGGAACTGGTTGGTCTCCAAGGCCCCTTCCAACCCAGGCATTTCTGTGATTCTATGAGATCTGCAGCTTTGTAAGATTTCAGCACCAAAGGAAAAATTCATTTATTGACATGGAAAATACCTGATATCTCTACTTGTACAACACAAAAAATGTGTCTCTTTTTTTTTTCTTTTTTTTTTTTTTTTTTTTTGTGGCCCAGTGGCAGAGGTAAACTTGGGAAAAAAAATTACCAAGATCTGGGCTGTAGGCTGACAGATCAGGTGATTTGTCCAAAGGAGATATTCAAAACCAATGTCAGATTCCCTCCTTCCTGTGTTCTCACAATCCTGCAGAGTCAGTGGTGTTACCTCTGTAGGGAGAAATTAATCCTTTTTGGTTTAGTACAGAACCAGCAACCACAGGTATTAGATATTTATAAGTTAATTATTTACACTACTGCTGCTTATGCTTGGCTTTTGCTGCATTTCTCAATTAAGTTTTATTTATTATCAGTTTCATTTTCAGATTTGGAGCACAGCATTAGAGGGATTTCAGAGACCATAGGAAAAGTTTATTTCTTTAACAATTGCTGGTTTTCCAGAGACTTTGTAAGTCATTACACAAACACTTCAGTGCTGGTTTTATAAACCTTAGTAATATTACAAAACAAGTTTTGGCTCAAATTTAAGTTGACACTGCCCCTTCAGAAACAGAGACAAAACTTGAAACTGTCTAGTTTCCTCCTTCAGCCTTTAAACACCTTTATATTGTTTTCAGAATATTAAAGTATGTTTTAATAGCAATACATATGTAATCATAGTTAAAACTACTTATTTTAATCATGTTTTAAGGGTTATTTATAGCTAGTCTTTCTGCAAGCCACCTGGTGAAGGTTTGCAGTAAAACCAAATGCTGTGTTAAAAAATAATTAAACAACCACACATCAACCACTAGTCTCTATTCACTTAGGAGTGTGTTTTAGAACAGGTTTTTAAAAAGTCAGAAACTCTAAATCCATATTCTGAGAAATTAAATTCAAATTTGTAGTGGAGTTTTTATTAATTTATCCACCTATTCCTAATTGTGTGGACTGTAAACACATTTACCTTTAAAGTGAAAGTAGATTGCTGGATGTAAAGATACAGGCTCAACTTATTTTAAAGAACCTTTCTGCTCACCTCTGCTTTTGTCTACAAAAGGAAAACCAGTAACAGGTTGCCAGGAATCCTGGCTTGAAGAATGGCATCTATCTCTTCAGGAGGCACTGAAACTCCTAAACATAATATAGATCCTCTCTCTATATCAGTGCCTTCTGCCCTGGCTCAAAGAGGAACTCTACTTTTTCAGGAAAAGTAGAAAAGCATCTGTATCTTGAATAAGAACTGAGACTACAAAACAGGAATTATCACTGTATTAGTGTGAGATGCATTGATACAAGAGACAAAATATGGTTTGGATATGCCAAGCAGCTTTAAACGATGCTGAGACAGATGAACACATGTTCAGCATACATACTTCTTTTTTCTGATCTCCCTCAAGGTTACACACACGCTGTGTGTACACAGACTGTCCTCATGGGTGTTAAATCTGTGAATGTGTGTTGTATGCATGTCTGCACACACATCTGTATTGAAAAATTGAGATATGGACCTTGTTTAAGTAACACATTTAGTGAGTTTCTCCATGCCCACACATTATTCCATTTCAGATGCAGAATCAGAAAATTAATCAAGATTATCATAATTTCCAAAAGCAGTCTGAGTTTTCCTCTGTGTGCCTATACAAGCTTCATTTACTTCAACAGGAGCAACTTGTACAGGAGAAGTTGCAGCAAGAGAACGTAACACAGTCAAGGCAGAAAACTTTTCACTGAGTTGTTTTTGCATACAAAGGGAACACCAGTCACTGAGGTGCTCTGACTGAGAAAGGGCTGACCAATGCTTGGATAACTCATGAGGTTACTGCTCTCCACCATCTCCACTGCACAGGTGGCTGTGTCAAGAAGCATCTCCTGATGACCTTTTTGCTTCCACAAACCAGACTCTCAGCCACTACTCAGAACTGCTAAACAAGCCAACAGTGGTAGAGCCCAGTTAAGTTTCCAAATCCCAGAAGCGGTCTTTATCCAGCCCCTAGCTTACCAAAACCAGAGCAGTTTGCAACACTGAAATAAATAACAGGTGAGAGAACGGAAACACAAAACATGCAAAACAGGGAAACAGGGACAGATCTGTTAATTCCATGCAGTTAGCAGTGATAGAGATGAATGTCAATGCTACTGAGCTTTCAAAGGCTCTGCTTTTGTTACTCACCAGATCATCCAGGAGTGCCTGTTTATTCTTCCTTTTCATCATCTGCTGTAGCTGCTCTTCCTTCTGCATGAAGAGCCGCCTCTGTTCGCTCTCCTGCCGCTCGACCTCCAGAGCCTCCTCCAGCTCTTCCTGCTCCCGCGTCTGAGAGGGAAATCAGAAATCAGCTCACAGCAGCCCCACAGCTCCACTGCCCCCCAAGGGACCCCAGGCAGGCCAGGCAAGGGGAAAGCAGACAAAATCTATCTTTTAAAGCAGAATTTTAAGGTGATTATGGGTGATTATTCTACCTCCTCATTGTCCAGTGTAAAGATTTTTAACTTGCTGCTCGCTGGAGTCAGATCTGACTCCTTAAATGTTAGGGAATGGCTTTTCCCTACACTTTCACTCTAAAGTGAGCCCCTCTCAGCTCCCACACATCCTATAACTCAATGATGTAAGTAGGGTGAGCAAAAACATGATCCCACAATACTGTTCCTGGTCATCCCACTCATCCCAGATCAGCTGCATTTCTTTGCAAAGCACACTGTGCTTATCAGTGGTGTAGAAGAAAAATGAGACATTACAAATATATGAATATTAATAGGGAAGCCTATATCTTTAAGCATTTAAGCATTAACTGTGAAAATGTCACATTTTCAGAAAATAAGGAGTTTTTCCTATAACCTGGATTGCAGTCATGTGACATGAGATAAAAAGAAAGATTACTAGTACAAAATGACAAGTTTTTGTTACAGATCTATTTCTTGGCAAGTATTTTTTTAGTGTGAAAACTATTAGGTAATCTGTATTTAAAATCACAGTGAAAGAATAAAAAAACAGAAGAGGGCTCAGAGACAGAGGAAAATAAGGAGGATTAAACAATTTTATAAAGAAGGTGGATCAAAAGAATGTCAGTTTGGTTGTTAGAAGGTACAAGAAAAAACATACAGGAAACATTTTCCAAGTCTTTCCATCAAATATACTAAAGCAAAAGGAGATCAGTAAAAATGGTAAGATAATTAAAATTTTATAAACTTAACAGATGAAAGGAGTTTCAGCAGAACATCATAGGGGAAGATGCTGATCTCTTCTCTGTGGTGCCCAGTGACAGAACCCGAGGGAATGGCCTGAAGTTGTGTGAGGGGACGTTTAGGTTGGATATCAGAAAAAGATTCTTCTCCCAGGGGGTGGCTGGCACTGGAACAAGCTCTACAGGACAGGGTCACAGCACCAAGGCTGACAGAGCTCAAGGAGGGTTTGGACAATGCTCTCAGGTACAGGGTGGGACTCTTGGGGGTGGTGCTATGCAAGGCCAGGAACTGGACAAAATAATCCCTGTGGGTCCCTTCCAACTCAGCTTATTCTGTGATTCTGTGATCATTATCGAGGCCAAGACCATAGTAAAGTTTGTTCTAATCATAAAGTCATATCATAAAGCACAGCTACCTAATAAAAGCCAAAATATACCCAGAAGTCCCTTCACCAGACAGATTGAGCCAGTGGGTCCCAGTGAAGCCCAGTTACTCCTGGGAGATCTCATCACCTGCCACCCAGCCAACAGAAGCTGCTTCCATTTTGTAACTGCTGCAGTGACACTGGTAAGAAGCTGGTCACCAACCAGCAACCACCTGGAATTGGGCTCTCTTTGCATTTAATGAAAGGAAAAAAAACAAACAAACTCAGTTAGAAATATGGGGATTTTCTTATGTCTGAAAATTAAGGGATTTAGTTAGTTCTTCAAGACAGAAAAGCTCAGGGTCTTTGAGACATTCCAAGGCTCTTCCACATTTATCTCTAAAGACTGCCTGGAATTTGCACTGAAACAGAAGAAAACTTGTAGGGGAGTGCTGACAGACCTAGTCTGAAGAAACAGCCCAGAAAAATTATAGTCTGAAATAAGTAAACTGATAAACAAACCTAAACCAGAGCAGACTACAGGAAAATGGAAGAATTATCACGTGTCATATCAAATTCTTTAAACAGTAAAAGAGAAGAGTTGCGTTCAATAGGCAGCAAGGGTTGTGTCCAGACTAAAGACAATCTAAACACAGTCCCATTATGTGAAGGAAAAGATGATGACAGTGAAGCCTGGAGTAATCTCAAGCCTACAAGTGAAGAATAGAAAGCAAAATCACATTTTGCCACATTCAGGAAAGGATAATCAAGAAAACATGCACATTCACATCACAGAATTCAAACACAACTATTTCAAGTCTGCACAAAGCAGCAAGTGAAATTAAACATCTAGTGATAAAGTAGGAAGCAACAAGTTACCCTACGACTGGAGAAGTGCAAATATTTAAGGGAGAAACACTGGAAAAGCTGTAGTCCACTCAGGGTGCAAGGTTTTAGAAATAAAAAGTGTATATAAATATCTAGGTATTAAAAAAACAATTTATAATTACAAGAACACCAAGATCCTCACTTTTTTTCTAAACTACAAGAGAAGAACAGTCTGAGGATCAATGTATTTCCAGCAGAGATGGGAAAACAGAGTTCCTTTACGAGAGGCATTAAGATCTCTGCATTCAATTCTGGCCCCTTCTGCTTGCCAAACACAAATCACACTGGAGCAGGCAAAGGGTAACAAAAACAACAAGAGGGACAGAAAACATCTACATCCCTCAGAAGCAACCTATTACAGGGGACAGAAAAATTTAAGTCAAGAATGTAGGGACAATGACTGTCCATAAGAAGTTTAAGTAAGAAAGTAGAACACCTTTTACCATACATGGAGTAAAGACATTCCAAAACTTGCTTAGAGGAGCTGGAGAGGAAAAGCAACACTTCAACTTTTAGGAGAGGGAGAAATTTATGGACAAGATCATGCAGTTTTTATAATAACCACTGTGTAAAGTCTATTATTATGTTTCAATTGTTGAAAACGAAATTATGAGTGTTTCAAATGTTAAAAAAGAAAAAAAAAAAGGGAAATGTTTCCAGCTCTTCAGTGAGTCTGGATTCACACAGGCTTGCCCAGCTTCCAGCAGCCAGCCTCCAGCAGAGCAGGACTGTGGAGCACAGCAAATAGAAGTCCTGGGGGCTTGAGTGGGTACAGGGTATTACAGAGCTGCTTGACAGCATCCCACAGCCCCTGCACAGGCTGTCAGAGCCACTTCCTTGAAGGGAAGGTGGGCTGCAGGCAGAGCTGTTCTCACTGTGACCCCAGAGGCTGCAGCTCCACTGTAAAATAAGACACACAGCCAAAGCTTTGGCAGGTCTCTTCAAGCTCTGAAGCAGAGGATATTGCACAGTGTCAGAGACAGGATAACAGATCAGAGATGGACCCCTAGGGAAATTTCTTTGCCTTTAAAAGGAAGAGGTTCAAACAAACATTTTTCAGATTCCAATCTCCTCCTGTGAAATCCTAGAGCTAAAGAAATCACTCCGAGTTTTGCCACAGACTTCAGGGGAGTGAGGATTTCACCCCTACTGATTTGAAAGCAAGTCCTTAGTGCAACTGGATTACAAATACAAACCCTTGTTATGTCACCCTCTGGGCAGACATTTTCCTTCAAGAACTGATAACAATGTGTATTTTTATGCTGAAAAAATATTTAACAGATTAAACTTTTCTTACAGGAATAAATGCATGGAAGTTTATTTTTAAAGACAAAATGATATGTGAGCCATAATTTAATGAATGAATCTTCAAAGAACCCTGTGTTTTGCATACAGATTATATATACAATATCCCTGATGTTAGTTATCAGCTCTTGAACAAAGGTTTTAATGTTTGTTTCAACATCTTTCATTTTGATTTTTGCATAAACCAGGCCTGTGTTTTGCCTCAATTTTACAACTCTCTCCTGGGAGCTTCATAATGTCTGAGTCTGGATTCCTTTTTTCCTTCAGATGAGAAAGGAACGATTGTCCTGGTGTAGGAATGAACTTCATCTCTCCTGGATATTGTCCAACGACACTGCCAGCACACATGCCGTGGTGATGTATGAGACACAGGCTCTACTGCCTGCCCCTCTCCTCAAGCCCTTCCCAAAATAAAGCATAACTACATTTCAGCTATCAACCCCAATATTTAAATACAAAGAACTCTACATAGTGCTTTCAGCTTTGATTTGTTTTAAGAAAGTACTCCACAAATCCTTTAATTCTTATACAAATGAATAAAAATTGTAGGAGAGAGAAGTTAACTAACCAGTTTTAACTTATTCTTCTGAATGACTTCTTTGTTATCCTTTTGATACAGCTCCATTTTCTTTTTGGTGTTCTCCAAGTCCACATTGTTGGTCAAGTTAAATACTGCATACATATTATAAAGACAGAAAGCAAAAGTATTAGGTCAGCATGCATGACTATGACAAAGAAACACTATTCTTATGCTCTGTATCCCTTCTAGCCAAATATAAACATTGCAGTAACAGAACCTATTTAAACATGCCATATAAAGACAGAGACAATCTGCTAAGTCACTGCACTTCAACAAAAGCCAGCAGAGTTTCCGTAGGTTTACACATCTGTAGGAGATTAAAATTTGAATCTTGAATCCCATTTTGTGACACTGTAATGATACACATGAATAATCATCATACTATTCATAAAACACTGACCTTTCCAGGTAGCAGTTATAGCTAAGAACATGGTGATTCCTGTAAAATTAAATTAGACCAAACACAGGCATATGAAGACAAGGTTGGAAATTAAGTCACTCCATTTCACAGGGAATATCTGATGCACAAAGACTACAGTGACTGAATTCTCAGGTACACACACACAAAAAAAAATCACATTACTTGATAACTTAAAAGGCACCAACGTACAATTACCTTTATTATGAGGAATCTGCAGATGCTTACAGATTAATAGGTCAGCTGACATTCTTTTGATGTCTCTCAATGGTGACAGACTATATCTCATGTAATTATGAGCAAGCAGGGTCAGCCAGCAAGCTCCATAGTTTAGCACAACATTCCCAATTATCTACACATGGATATCTCAAGAAATTGAACAGTTTCTATAATCAACAGCTTGAAAGATGTAGATGGTTTGGATGATTTGCAATTTGATACAATGCCTGAGCCCTTCACCTCTAGGTCACTGGTTCACTTGTGGGTCAAGTGAATTCCAACTGAACACCATTATCACTGGGAAGTCTCCTGGTGATCCCCATCCTTAGGGGATGCTGGGCTCATGCCCAGGGCCTTAGAGCTACTGAGCAGTGCCAGCACAGAGCACTCAAAGCCTCCAAGAGCTCTGGCACATGCCTACAAGAGCAGCAATGAAATCTGTGCTGCCATTGATAAATCCTCCACCAGAAACAACCATTCAGTGGCCATGCTGCATCAGACCCTAAAGGGGAGGAGAATCTTGTGGAAACTCCAGCATGGCACTTGGGAGGTTTTGGTTCAGTTCTCTCTTCCCAGGCTTTTAGGCAACCAGGGCCAAGCCAAGCCTGGGCACAAGCACCACTGCAAGTCATTTGTACCAGTGAGGCTGCTAGAGAGGAACAGAAGGAAGCAGCATGGAGTCTCTTGTTACTCATCAGGGTAACACATCTCAGTTTGGAGAACATCATATCCCTTCTTTCATCCTCCCCACAGGTAACGTGGCAGAAAAGAGCACTTAGGAGGATTCCAGGCAAACCAAATGAAAAGCAGCCCAGACTGGCAAACCAGGTGAGAACAGTGAAGGAAACATCAAGACATCAATGCCAGGAGCAAATGGAGGTAAGAAGAAACAGGAAGATCCAAAGTGGTAGAGCTGTGGGATGCAGGTCAGCTCTACAAGCCCCACTCACTGCTGCCAAGGGAGGCATTCCTGCTGTTATGCCTCCCTCCCCAAGCACAGGCCTCATTCTTTCTCCTGCTCTGATTCCAGAACTCCCTTAGATACTCGGCAGTGTCAAGAGAAATCCCCCAGTAACCTGAACCAGCTCAATACGGGGGCTGAGTGCCAGAGAGGGTACCAGGGAAGTAATAAAAGGGTACAGATGGGAATAGGAATACTTTCTTTCCAGGAGTACCAAACAACCACATGATCTTGCTCTTATTAAAAATACTCAATTTCCTTAAACTGCAGCAAAATTGCTCCCCAAGATACAGTTCAAGAGCTTCCTAACCTTACCAAAAAAAAAAAAAAAACTGTATTTATTTTTCCCATTTTCCAAATAATAAGCAGTATCAAGAGGAATAGCACTTCAATTCAGTCTGGCTCCTGAACCAGCTGAACTCATCCAGCCCCATCCCACCATCCTCAGTTCAGAGGGAAGCTCTAAGATGGCTGAGTTTGTGCTTTAAGAATTTCAGAATCAACACCTGAGTTGAAATTTTTGAATTTTGCTACTGTTCCTGGGCAGACCACTGGGCCTCAGTACTGGAGGTCTCCCACTGGTAAGAATCAGGAAAAGGGAAATAAAGGTTCCCTTCTACACACCACCTGTTGTATCTCCACACTATAGCTTCAGGCAACACTTCTCCCTGAAGTCTTGATCTCATCCCACCTGGGGCCTCTGGGCACTGCCATAGCCCAAACAAGCCATTTAAAGTTCAGCTCCTTGGTTTTTGGAAGCAAGCTACAGACCCCAAATGTTTTGGGGTTTTTTTTCCTCTCCAAAAGGCATAATATTTTCCCATTTCATGTTGTGACAAACACACACTTTTTGGTTGTAGCAACCTCTCCTTAGTAAAACATTATTTTAGTCTAAATATTTAGTATATTAATGGTGATCTGACAGCCAAATTTCCAGCCTACAGTTGCCCACTGACAAGAAGTTTTAATATTTGACTGTTAGGGCAGAGAAGAAGTGTCATATGAAACTGCTGGCACACAATCAGCCCAGGGCTCTGCAGTGACAGCAGCTGCATGGCAATGTCAGCACTTCCTACAACTTAAATCCACACAGCAGCTCTCTAAACTCTTCAATGACGACACAAGAAAGAAATAGCCCATGAGCCATGCTGTGCTAGCAGGATGCCCAGATGCCACCTTCAGGTGCATGAGGAGATGCCAAATTGCCTTTAGGTCCTGAACATCATGAATATTTCTCTAAAAATAAATGTAGCCATAAGCTGCTCTGTTTTGCAATTACTGCTGTTTGAAACCTTCAGGGTTTTTTGGGTTTTTTTTTTTTTTTTTTTGCTTCTTTCTCAGTTATCTTTAATAGGTTCAACTGGTCACAATTTGGTCAGTAAAACAAGAAGCTTAAGATTCAAAACTCATACTGGGGAAAAACAGGCATGTTTTAATCACTTGTAGATGCCTACCTTTATTGAGAACTGCTTATAAAAATGGGTGTGTTTTGGTATTTTACAGGAAGTAACAATTCTATCTAAAAAAATCTATTTCTGCATCAATGTTTGGGAAATTTTCAGCAGCCACCTGCATAGGCACCCTAAAAACCCACTGCTCTGCTCATGGTGGAAGCATTTATCCCCCCTTGTTTTCCTGCTGTGGCTGGAACCAAACCACAGCCACAACCCTCTCAGCAGTCAGATCTGCTCACACCATGCTGACTCTGCTCTGCCCATTTTATCCTGCTTTGTCACTCAAGGATATTGTAGGACACCAGCAATCAGAGATTGTAACTTCCAGCCCCCTCAACAGCCACAGGAAATTTGTCCCAGAGAATACTGATCTATAGCCATTGATGAGAAGCATTATCCTGGTCCTGAACACCTCCTCCTCCTCAACACTGACTTGTCCACATTTCAAAAGTGGAAACACTTAAGACATTTTATTGCAAGACTGGAAACAATGTAAAAGAGTGTTAAAAAGTGTAAAAAAAAAAAAAGGGCAAAACAATGGAAAGTGTAACAGTGTAACCTGGATCTGCCTCCATCAACTTCAGTGTCAACAGCTGCCTTTTAGTGCATGAAAACAGCATCTTCCCTCCTACAATAAACACCTACCAGCAAAACAAGCTGCTCTTTGACCCTGCATGGCTACCAGTGGCCAGCCAGCCAGCCAAAACATCTTTCAACATATTTCCTAATAAATTTTTCATGAGCTTCAAACGTCTTTTCATCAATATTTATAGAATACAAATTCTTGCCATTGTAGCCTCACAATACAGCTGACAAGTCTGCTTTGCAAGGGGCACTAGGGCACAAAAAAAAAAAAATTAAGATATTATTTCCCTCTCTTGTCCTTTGCCCCCTCCACAAGTTACTTGGCATTTAAAACCCAACAATTATAAAACCAAATAACACAGCTGCTAACACTCAACATACAAATTTTAACATAGGACTATGCAGCACTTTTTTATTTGGCCTGCTTTGAGTTTTGCCAGAAATTTATTTTAAATATACTTCATCACTCCAAAAAAAATTATAGAACTAGAAAAACGAGAAAGAGTTAAAAATCCCAACTCATATGCTACACCTACCCTGAAAAAATATTGGTGTAGATCTGAATATGAGTGGCAAAGCAGATGGCTGGTTTGAAAAGGTTTCAAAGAGAAGACAGACTTATTTTTGTCCATGTTGAAATATAGCATAAGCCGATATGAGAGGCCTGAAGCCCTTCAGGGAAAAGAAACAGAAGCTGTTTTGTATGCAACAATTATTTATCTACTTATCCATCTCACATTGGTTGGTTTATAAAATGACTTGCCTTGAGACATCTGTTAAGTATAACAGGAAGACTATTGTGTTTTTGTGAAACATTTCATTCTATTTAGGTGAAACTACCAAGTTCTGAAATTCAGCCTCTACAGGGACTTTCTCTGTTTTTCAAAACAACAACGTTCATTATACAATTCTACAACAAATGAAAAAATATTTCCCTTGTTATAAAAAAGAAAATGAGACCAAAATTTTAATTAAATGGCACAATAATTTTTCCAGAGACATAGCAGTATGAATGAATATCACTGCACTGCAGGACTAAGTCCCTCAAAATCTCCCTGTTTCAGATTAAGACTGAAAATTACTAGCATTAGTTAATTATAAACAATATTCCTCCCATCCTACTACAAACAACTCCTAAATTATCATCTCCCTAAAACCCCAAATTGGGAATGGCAGAGTGCTACAGAAGGAGACACAACCTCATCCTCAGTCTGCCTGGGATGTCCCACGCTACTGTGGCAGCTTCCCTTGGTGCTTTTGATGCCTGACCCCTAAAAGGGGTGGGAGTGGAGCGAAAGGAAGAAAAGAATTTCACAGGTCCCTTCCAACCAACATTTCTGGGATTATAACAAAATAATCCTCAGAAACAAAAGAAAACCCACAGTTAAGCCAGAAAAGTCTAGTTAGGTATCAATGATTATTTCTATTTATCCTCAGCAGTTTTTTACTGAGTCAATAACTTTTCCAGAAGAGCTGCAAATAGCAATGAATGACTGAAATCACTCAGCCTCATCACTCTAAGAAAGACCATTTTGGCTGGAACAGTGTGATGACTCAAACAGATCTTTGATAAAGCTGCCCAGTTTCCAGTTGGGTTATTGCCTGTGTCAGGACCAGCAACACCATCCTCGAGAATACACACACAGAGGGGGGGGAAAAAACCAAACCACAAAACAATAAACAGCACAACCCGCAAGTGATCACAGATAGCAAAACCCTTTCTATCCAAGGATCACTTGTCAGATAAGTGTTATGAGAGGCAGCCGGTATTGCATAAAGTCCTAGAGGATCAGGGAGACACAGGAATACACAAATACCAGCAGCCTCCTCCGGAGCTGAATGCTTTTTAAAAAGCAGCAATTACCCATAACCATTGTGCTGCGGTAATGCCTGGGGGCCTCACTCAGGTACCAGCAGAAGGTGCCAGGCACACGCTGGGAGGTGGGTCCTGCTCCAAGAGCTTTCACACAGGGCTTGAAAAATGGCCAGAGATACTCTGGGGAAGAAGAAATACTTGGGGGAAGAAGAAAACTTTGTAGAAAGAGCAAGTTTTACAGAGTGCAACTTGTAGCAACACTCAAAGGTTTAACCAGGTCCCTCTTACCTATGGGCACAGACCTGACTCACTCAAATAGACGATGTCCACACCTTTTCCAAAGCCAGGTTTTAACCCTTTCACTTTAATTTTATTCCTAGTGCGAATGACAAAAAACTGTGTTTACAATGTTCTCAAATTGTCCAACTTATTTTTCTTTTGGGGAGAACTCGCTTTAAAATGTGGTTTTTATTTAAAGCCTTGTTTAACACATTTTAGCCCAAAGCATTATTCAGTGGCTGCACTCTAAACCACTTCAAAAACCTGTTTTTTATAATAGAAATCTTAAAAGGTGACTACCCTAATGTTTGTTTGACCTTCCCACACACACATGCTGCTGCACCATCCAACTCTATTTCAATAGGAAAAGTCTGTAGGCAAAAAACAGCTGATATGAAGGGGGGAAATGTGTTTCAAATGAGGTCAGCAATTGCTGTGTCCCATTCCATGGCTAGTTTTGGAGCTGACCTACCTGGAATATTTGGAAAATCTATCAGAATCAGGGTCATGTGAAATACACCTATACAAGAGGATGTTACATTTTGTCTGCGCTAAGCAACTACTTCATTTAAATCCCTACAACAACTCCAGAAACAAAACCTTCCAGCAAAGAATAAAAAAGCAAAAGGTAAAGCTGCACTTTGATCCTCTCACAGAAAAACTGAAAGTTTAGGGCATGAGGAGAGGGGAAACCTTCCCAACCACCACCAGCTACTGCAAGTCTGCTGAATATTGGCTCCACAAGGCAAAGCTGCCCTGCACATCCTTTCTTTTCCATCTTGCAGCCCAGTTTTCCACATGAGCAAGCAAGCAGGGAGTTCAGAGACACACAAAAATGAAATAACTCCTCTCAGCAGTAAAGTGTGCAATTATCACACAGAGTCAATAACTTTTAACATACTGTTCAGCCACACCATTCACAACATGCACTGGAAATTCCCCACTGCCAGGTGGGGAATTCTGCCCAGGACCACAGCAGGGATGGGTTTGGGGACAAATGTGCAATGGGCTTTGTCACCAGGGAGAGCAAACAGGGCTTGAACTCTTGCCTAAAGTGGTGTTTTTGAATCTAACCTGTCCTTTGGGATCTGTCTGGAGTTGGGAAATCAAAAATTAACTTGCTAACAGTGAAAATTAAGAGTCTTCTGACTGCACCCCTTCTTTCCTCTCATCACCCTGGCTGTCACAAGAACAAACTAGGATGCAATTGGACTTCAAATTTTAGATGTTCCTCTCAGGTAACTATCTCCAATTCCTAAAAACTCTATAAGGCTTCTTCACTATGCATTTGCAAGGCTAAAACAATTATTGGCCAAATCACTATTTTTCATAAGGTTATTAAGACCAGCCAGGTTTCTGTTGCTTCTAAAACCAAGTTCCCAGTACAGGATTTGGAACCATTTGCAATGTAACCACCTAATCTCAAGAGCTGTAAAATCATAACATCCTGCACAAATTCATGAGGTTCAGACAATTTCAGGCAAAACTTCAACTCCCTTGTTACAGATGTTGAAAAGTCCTGCAACAGCAGCTAAGTGGGAAACTGTATTTAATGCTACATGAAAAAAAGCAGTTTTCCTTCCCATGAGCACACAGATTCTTCCAGGATCCTCTGGCTATTCTTTCTATTCATTCCCTCCTTCTCCCATACCATTCCAAAAAGCATACAAACAAAGCTACACCCACATCATCTCTTCCAGATATCTGGACCCATGTAAGTGTGACTGGTGTTTCCCAGTCACACAATTTGGCTTCCCAGCCTTAGCCTCCTGATCCAACAAAAACATGATACATTGCTCACAGCAGTAAGTGTATTGGATACATTTCTACAAGACACCACAGTGCAAAAAAGGAGAAAGGGCTCCTTTGAGAAAAATGAAGGAAAAGTGTCATCTCCGTGGTTTCCTTCAAATCACATTTACTGCCCCTCCTGCAAGCTCTAAGTCACCTCTTCTTCCTCCAGGTCAAAAAAAAGAAAAGGCTCAGAAGCTCATAAAAACCAAGAACAAACCATTTAGGAGTCACTTCTTTGAACACATCCTTGTTTTTCTAAGCAAAACCCATCACTCCACCATAAATCACAAGTCACCCTAACTAAGAAGAAAATAAACTCTGTTGATAACATTGTCCCTTCCCCGAAGGGCAAAGTTCTGCTTCAGCTAATCCAAAGAGAAAGAAATCAACGTCTGTTCCTAAACCTTCTCCTTCTGCACAGAAACATGAAATGCTACCACAGTGGTATGTAAGGTCATCAGCTTCAAAGCTGCTTCAACTACTGTACTTGCAGAAGCAAAAATGATGAAAGACACCATATGGCTTCTGTCATGGTAGATAAAGCTAATGGAGGGATATAATGAAAATTTCAATTTCTCCTCTCTTTGTTTAATCTTTGCCAGTGCAGCATTGACAGTCCCCTGCAAGCCTTTTTTTTTTCCAGCTTGCTTCCTCTTTGGATTGTGTTTTTTTCTCTGGCAGATAAAATGTTTTACTTAACAATGTCCTACGGTTCAGCAAATATGATTAAATCCAGAAAAAAAAAAGTAATTAGATAAAAATCTGGTACTATGATAAACCATATTACAGAAACTGAACTTAGACATTCTCATAGGCAGCTGAGTCAGAAGATAAAAGCTTATGGTCTCATAAGCACAGCACATCAAAAATTCAAGCATTAAGACTTACCAATTTCTTCTATTTCTTCCAAGAAATCATTATATTCATCTAGAGTGGGGAAGTCTTCCTCTCTTTTATTGTATCTTTGAGAGAAGAGAAAAGTATTCATAAAACACAGAAAGATGCAATTTCCATTCATCAAGGCTTTTGCTGCAAGCTGATTAAGCACTGATCTAGTTTTATCTACTATGTGTTTTGTGACTCCCAAACTGACCAGAATCTTTAATGGGAGACAGAAGTGCCTGCTCCAAAGGAAAGGAGGCAGCCTGGAAGAAATCTGTGCTATCTTTGCCTGTTGTTTGCCAATTCCTTTTCCAGGGTTACAGGTAAACATGAGCACAGAGGCCAAGACAGAGTAACTCTCAGCCAGCCTCTTAACAAAGGCAGAGACAACAGCAACACCCACAGAAAAAAGCTTTTCTAGAACAATCAGAAAAGAGTTTGGCTTTGTGCCAACAACAAAAAGCATATGTCAGCAGCAAACTGAAAATGCTACACAATTATCTTATTTCATATCAATAGATCATTCCAGCACTCATATTCACCTCTTCAGAGCTGGAGAAAGTAAAAAAGATGAAGGGACAATTGGCTTAGAACATGGACAGCTTTTGAAAGTGAAGACAGGCAGACTTTCTTCCCCAGAAAATATAAAGCTGAGCTTCTGCTTGATCTCTGGACCGTGACATCCAGGAATATAAAAATCCCAAGAATTGAGGCCATATTCCAATTTGGGGGCATTTTTTCTGCCTCCTAAAAACTAATGTGACAAACCCAAGTAAGCCAAGCATTTTCCAACATTTTCTCTTCTAACTAAACTTTATTCAATGTTTATTGACTTATTCCAGTTTGACTTCTGTTAACTTCAATAGACATTAAAATCCAACATCAAAATTATCACTGCTTTCCACATCAGCATCTTGGTATTCAGTGGCACAGGTTCCCCACATCTCAGCAAGATCATATGATTCATTTACTATTGTATCAAGTTTTAGATAAAGGCTGACAAGCTTGTAATTTACCTGTTCGTTCACTTAGGCACACACAATTCTCTCTGGATCGTTACATTTATCAGATTTTCTTCTATCAAAACACCAACTGGCTCCCATATTTTCCTTATAAAATGCTGCTTACTGGTCACAAGGAGCGAGATGCAATCTCACACCTCATTTATCTCAATTTCAAGAGCTTTCAAATCTGCATGAAACACTGGTAACACCAGGCTTGTAAGGAACCATTTCCACTAACAATTGCTGTGTGAAGCAAAAAACAATGTGAACTCTTTTGCCCATTTTGATTTTGAAGAGAACTGGCCTTCAACTCTCAGAACAGGTCCCCAGGGAACAAAACAATCAAGGTCCTGTTTCTTGCTCTACTGCCATGTTCATCCCCTCAGTATCTAATCATCTCCATTTTGGTGCCAAGTCTTTGCCAAAGAAGGCCACATAGAAACACTCAACAATTTCTAATGTTAAGCAGGAATCCCTCAAGGCTAAATTGAGAATTCAGCTCTCAATTGTTGCACAAAATCAGATTCTCTGAAATCCCTTCATGATAAATGGAGCAAAGTTTTATGGTTTGCCACTTAAAGAAAAAAAAAAAAAGAAAAATCTCCTCTGTACTACTGAATAAGTTAATTTTTTTTTAATTTTGATCCATGAAAGACATCTACTCTCTGCTCTTTTAAATGGTGACACTCACATTTTCAGCACTTTCTTCCGGATTTCCACTTCCTTGTCGACAGCAGGATCCTCAAAGAGCTGCACCCTGAAGTTGCTTTTCCTCAGGGGTGTGTCACACTCATGGCAGTTCCCAGCCCCTCTCACAAACAGCAGCTCCACACAGCTCTCACATCTGTGGAAGAAAAGGGTGCAAAGGCACACAGATATTAAACAGGAACTGAATCACAGGACTGTGCCCCCTTTTTGCTGTTTGCACAGCACTTCTCCCCTGATTTCGTTCTTTCTGCAGCACCCACCAGAGGCAGGAGGCCAGAGCTCTCCACCCTGCCTGAGCAGAACAGGCTCAGCAGCACAAACACATGGATTCTCCCTGCCCAAACATCTCCAGCTCTTTGCTGGGACCAAGCATTAATCCAAACAAAATGATGGGGTCTAGATCAAGGAGAAGATGTTTATTGTCATCAGCAAACCCATTTCACATGGACCAGTCTGCAATATCCTTATTTACTCTAAGCACCACCCCGCTGCACAAAAAACCCTGTTTGTTTTCTTGATGCTGCAGTGCAAGGAGAACTCAATCCAAGCATGGACACAAATCTTGCCTGCAGACTTCCAAGCATCTGCCAGTCCTGTCACAGAGGAACTGCTGCACCAAACCTAAGTTAAACTCCAGCCCAGCAAAACTAAAAGAATCAAAACTATTTCAGTCAGCAACCAGCTTTATGCAGCTCTCTTTTGCCTTCTGGTAATACTTTTTAAATTGTATATAAAATAAACTTTACAGAGGCTGCACAGAAATAAACCAAAAATACCTTTCTGGTTTTATTTCTTTTGACCTAATGGAAGACTTCAGATTTTAACAAGATACTTGCTGACCAGTCAGTTGGCATTTAACAAAGGCAGAACACACAACAAGAAAGCTGATTTTAAGAAAAAAAGTACTTGGGTAGTAATAATGTGCAAATTTCTAGCAGAGGACAACACCTGCTGCAGTCATTTCCTACTGCTGGGGAGGCAAAGGGGAGCCTATTTATAGCTTTGCTATATTGAAGCCAAAACAGTTGTACATTAAGGGCAAAGCCATGTTTTACCTTCACAAACCCAGCACAAAAGCTAAACAAAGTAAGAGAAACAACACTGACATGGTTGAGAAAGATCTTAAACAAAACTTTCACACTGCTGACCTATCCCAAACTAAACTGGTTCCAGTCCTTACAGAGGCAGAGATAAGGAGAGCCAACCAGTTTTACCCAGCTTCTGTTGTCAAGATTAAAAAGTGGAAAACAAACATAATTGTATCTCACAATTAAAAAAAAAAAAAAGCATTTTTTTGTTGTTGCTAACACATGGAGATCTACAGCTTCAGCCTGCAACTTGCACAGCAGCTGCCAATGTCAAAGAGCAAATATTGAATTTACTTGGGCATTTTTCTGCTCCAGAATTCCTTTAGTTAGAAAACAAAGTGTATTTATAAATACAAATTTTCTGGGTAGGGAACAATTAAACTTCATTAGCACACTAAGCCTAAAATTTAGAAGCTGCTGGAACATGGACTCAAAAAATAATGAGAAATGAATATAATGTACATAATGGAAGCAATTTATGTCCCCACTACAGGAGGGCCAAGAGTAAACGCAAGAGAGCAGGCAAGGCAGGGAAAAGGTTTTCTCCTTCCTCTCCCAACCTGTCTGTGCATGCAGGAGCCCAACATAAGGACAGCTTCACTGGCTCTATTCTGGCAGCTCGTGCTGTTTGTGCCTCTCAACACAGCAGCCAAAGCACAGAAAAGTCCCTGCCTCCTTTTTCCTAAGTTATAGAATAGGGAGTAAAGAGACAGAACTCGGCAGGTGGATCCAAGTGCAGGTGTTTGTATTGTTTTGTTATCACAGTATTGCCTAAGGACCAACAGAAAAGGGGTTCCATGTGCAGGATATTATTCACAGACAGTAGCACCTGAAACTACTTCACTCCCCACTTCCCTTAATCAAAGACACTTCAAGTTTGCACAGGACTTGACTATGGAAAAAATCCCTCCTTGCAAAAGCACTTCATACAAGTGCTTCAATGCCTTCCCCAACTGAAAGCAGTTTCTAAGGCTGCAAAATAGCTTTCCATACATAAAAAGATGAGTCAACACCTCACTATGGGAATCCCACATCAGGTGATTGCATTCTCACTCACTCATGCACATCCACCCTTATATTTATTTGGAGATAATTCCTTCTGAATTCAAAGGGGGCTGTGTGGGACAAGTCAAGGGCAGAGCTGGACTCGGCCCATATCCTGCCTCCTCTCCCATCTCCAGACAGATTTAACACACACAGATCCCAAGCTTCCTGCCAAACAGATCTGTCATCCTTGCCCCCACAAACAGCAGCCACTCTGCCACCAATGGCAATGTTGGTCACACACTTCCATCTGATTCTTGAGGAAGGGAAAAAAGCCATTTTCCCAGCCCTGCTCCAAGGAATTCCCTTTGGTTTCGTGCAGATCACTAATGTCAGAGCATGTGTAATCACCATGAAGGCCCATTGCTACAAAGGTGGATTTAATGAATTTGCTCACTTCTTGAAATAAAGATTTCAAAATGTGACTTGAAAAAAATTATCTTGCACTGTAAAATTTAAAAATATATTTCTTTTTCACTTGGATTATTTTTAGCTGGTTATTAAATATATGTAGCAATTTCTGTGACTTCACCAAAGTCACAGAAACTCATTCAATAGCACAGAGGGACACCCCAACACCACAGCTGGTATTAGAGAGCTCCTCATAGCACACAAACCACATAATTTCAGGAGAGCCTTCCATTTCTTCCCAAGTCCAACTCTTCCCCACTGGCCTTACTGTAAGGACAGCTGCCTGTGGAAGCAGGATACCATTCTGTACATCTTTCAAGCCAACACATTATATGTGCCTTTCTCCAAATGAGCAAAGCACCAAAGCATCTGCTTAACTCACCTTCAAATCAGGGCCAAAATAGACGGCACTGTGTTTTCTTAAATGAGGAGTCTTAAAGAGGCAATTTTGCATTTGCATGTGTATTATGTATGCAGATATGCTATATATATAAACTAATGATGACAAATGTTCTTATTTTTAAAAATACCATCCATACATTTGTTCAATTCTGAGTTTGTCTGAAGACTACAGCTTCACATGAGAGCTAAACAAACATTGTGATGTTGCTGCTTCTCTTCACACCGAGGTTGCACAGCCTCTGCAGTCTGTATTCTACTTCACACACTCACTAAAACATTTCCTTTTGGAGTTTGTATCTTGAGAACATGTGGTCAGGATGAAGATATGAACAGAAAATGCCCAAGGACTTACACATGGACATACAACAGGGATAAATATCAGTAATGCCAACCAGGAACAATAAAGTCTCTTGGTCTTTGACACCAATAAACATTAGAATGGCTCATTTTCATTTCATCCACAGTGGTTTTATCTGTTGCTCTTCTCTTCAACCCCCATGAAATATTAAACAAAAGGCCCAGCCTCTGAGCAGTCTAGAACACCACATTTTTGGGAGAAGCAAACAATAAAACATCTAAAAACAGCACTACAGGCCCTCATGTTCAAGGACTTCAGGATCGTACTAAAAATGCTTTTGGTACACTGCAGAAAACAAGCAGAGGTTCCTCCCCAGAAAGATGTTAAGATATTTATCAACTAAATTACACTGACTGGGAACTGAGTGTTTGTTTTGGACAGAGTGTCTTCAAAGGGTACAGGATTTGTGCCCAATCCTGCATTCCTCACATATGCACACATTCACTTCATGCAGGGATGATGGCAGACAAGGAATCAACCCCTCTGGGACACTGAAAGATGAAAATGGCTCACAACATCAGCAGAGCTTGATAGTGCTGCTCACTTTTTTAGCTCGGCTGGCAAGGGAGCAAACAAAACAGATTAAAGGAACAGCTATTTTCACCAGCAGGAACACAAGATATTCTCTCAAAAATTTAGATTCTGCTGAGCATTACAAATATTTGCAGAACTTTAGATATGCAGCCATTAATCATTTCAGTAAAAAAAAATGTATGGCTTTTGCTGTTGACTAAGAGTATTACAGAATGAGTTACTACCCTTCTTTACAAAGTCTATTTTTAGTAGATAGACTCATTAAACAGTATCAAATACTTACAATTTCTAAGCCTCTCTTTCTTCAGCTTTTTATAACCAAGATGTTTCTGTTATTTAAAGTAACAAAACAAATTATCCTCTCTACTATGGAAGAAACAGTTTTGATTAAAAAATAATAATACAGTCTTCAATACATAGCCAAGACTTGAGCCACAAACAAGAGGAGTGGAAAGAATCAGCAAAAATGATGTGTTTTCACTTGTTCCTCAATTTTGATGTCAGAGGGAAATTTACTTATAGAAGTAGAATGACTTGATTTATGGGGAAGGAATATTAAAAAACAGAAAACACACACATGAGAAAGCTTACAGAATGGCATCTAGTTTTTTAAATCAAAGATGCTTCTAGAAACATTCCTGGGCTTCTTGGATTAGACAATTTGATATTCTCAAGCAGTGATTCTTGAACTGAGGCAAGAACAGCCCAGTCTGGGGAGAGAAGCTGTCAAACCTGTTTATTTCACAGCCTTCAGTACATTTAACAAGTCACAGTGGTTTCTGCTATGTAGCCAAGAGCTCATCAACCATTTGCAGCTGGCCACTGCAGCTTTATTTTCTGGGCTGATGGCCTCAGACACAGCCTAGAAGGCAGGTTCTTCCTGGAGTCTGCAGCAACCATGACTTCTGTGATGCAAAAGAGTCAAAAGAACCCAGCTAAAGCCATTTTTTCATGTTACAGGATAAGGACCAGAAGCAGAGGAAAGAGAAGCATGACTCCAGTGACATCAAGCGCTTCTGAGAGCCTCAGAATAATGGAGCTTAAGAGATCAATAGGGAATTAGGGATAAAAATCAGTCTTTTCCTTTTCACACCTCAGCTTCAGGAATCCATAAATCCTTATTCAAGTATTTGCAGTAGCTGCTGCCTATGTTTTTTGGGCCATCTCTTCCCTGCCAAATACAAGAGGGAGTTGGGAAAAGGTGATACCAATTACTCTCTCACCCCGTCCTGCCCAGATTCTGTTAAGCTCTACCAGTGGGGATTTTGCTGTCCTTACCTCGTGAGGAGACAACTTCAG